GCTCTAACTTAGCCTCCTTTGTCCCTAACGCTTCCAGAGAGCAGTAGAAGCGAGACCCTAGCCCCCATATTGTTCTTAAGAGTACTTTTGGCTTTGTGAAGAAGGTTTGGAGCTTAGAAGAAGAAATAGGTGGTTGAAGAGTGCAAGGAAAGGGGTAGATCCGAAATCTACTCAGGAAGAAGCTTCCATTCAGGTAGAAAAGTCTCTACCTTGATCTTTAGGTTATTAGTTACCATTTTTGTCCCAATTTGGTGGTTTTCAATCCGTAAAACACCAAACTCCATGTGTTGTGCTTAATGATCCAAAAGGACTTCAAATCTAGACTTATTGGACATATTAGAACCATAAAGTTCCTGTGGTTGGAGTGATTGAGGTCCCCATTGAGTCTATGACCTCTTGAAGAGTTTGGTTTTGGCCTTTTGAGATTATAGGGCCATGCATGCACGTAAAGTTTGCAACTTTATGTGATAAGCATGCTCAAGGAACATTGATTTATGGTTTGGAAGGGTTGCATGTCTTAGAATTGGTCTGTATGGGAAATGGGTCATAGGGACTCGACAAGTCCCAAGGAGGAACTCGACTAGTTCCATGAAGATGGCCTTAGACTCGGCGAGTTTGATGAATAACTCAGCGAGTCCTATGAAGATTGCCTGGAACTCGGCGAGTTGTTCTTCAAACTCGGTGAGTCCGGTCGCGAGTCCTTTCAATCGTCCCAAGTAATGAGTTAAGGGTGATTCAGTGAGTGGGAAAAAGGACTGGTTGAGTAGCGTCGGGTTAATAGGAGAAGGACTCGGCAAGTCTATGCCATGACTCGGCGAGTCCAGTCAAATGGACATTGACTTTGACCATGGAGTTGACCTTGGGCCAAGGGAGGGTCGGTCTTTTGACCTTAGGGTATTTATGGGTGTCTAACCTATGTTTATGGTTTATAGCAGGAGGATTTGCGATCCAGCAGTCAGGCGCTTAGTAAGCAGACTTCAACAGCTACTTTCGAGGTGAGTTACCTTCCAGTAGCGGTGGGTCTAAGGCCACAATGCCGGCCCACCAATAGGAGACGTATGATAGATGATTGTCTTTGTGATATCACCTAGGTTTTCTACTACCTGATATGTTATATGCTAGCATGATATGTTGTATGTGATAGTAGTAGAGTTCGGTTGTTAGGACCGAAGGGTAGTCAGACACCCCAGATACGTCTGATAGTGTGTGATTGGATGTTTTCATGCTAGCTTGTTATGTTATATGTGGTAGAGGTAGTAGGAGGGGACCAGTCCCCGGGGTTCGGTTATTAGGACCGAAGGGTAGTTAGCACCCCAGAATGGCTTGACATGGGTAGTCAGCACCCCAGAATGGCTTGACACGGGTAGTCGGCACCCCATAATGGCCGTACCGGGTAGGCCGGGCACCCCAGAATTGCCTGGCAGTATGTATCCTATGTGATTATATGATATGTGGTACAATGGGGGAACTCACTAAGCTTCGTGCTTACGGTTTTCAGTTGTTTCAGGTACATCTTCTGTCAAGGGGAAGAAGCTGACGCGGTAGCGGCGCATCACACACGCTCTTTTGATTTCTGCACCAAGAGTCATTCTGTGATTTTGTACTCTGACATTTTCATGTTTTATGTTTTGGTCTATGGCCACGAGATATGTTTTATCAGATATTATGATCATGTGATATTTTATTACAAACGCTTTTTCAAATCGCTTAATTAAAAACGAAATTTTTCGCCCGTATTTTTGGGATGTTTCATCCTCTCTATAAACCTACACAACTAAAGAAAATTTTTGGCAACGGGCGGGTTTGGGGCGGGACATGATTTCCTAAACCTGCCGCGATATCTTTCGTGTATCTTATCGGGGCGCCCCATTGGGGTTCGGGTTTTCCCATCGGGTTTCAGGTATCTCATCGGGTTTACAACAAATCATAATGAAATCTTATTCCGTTTTAGGGTACTTCGATGTCTTATAAGAATCCGTTTTAAATTAAAAATATGATGCATCACTTTATTAAAATATATTGGACGTTATATCAAAATTTATTTGATTTAAGTTTAGCGTAATACGTCAAAACATAATATATATATATATATATATATATATATATATATATATATATATATATATGTTCATTCAGACCAGATTGTTAATAAATAAAAAAATTATCCACCATAAGTATTTTATCTTTGAACACGTGCAAATAACGTCAAAAGGTTTCGAACAAATTATATATATATATATATATATATATATATATATATATATATATATATATATATATATATATATATATATATAAATATAAAATCGGGGCGGGGCGGGTTGGGGCTGGGATAACCCACTTCCCGTGCCGAACCAGATGAAAAACCCGATAACGATCAGTTATCCGATCCAAAATGATCGGGTTTCGGGTTTCCCCATCAGGTTCGGGCTTTCTTGCCATCTTAGTAGAATGTAGACGATGCATTTTCCAACAATGTCGTATAAGGGTTACTTCGATATTTATTTCATGTTTTTATGTATTATCCCTTCCGTTATTAGACCCCTATATTCTTTGGTTACAAATCCCCCATTCTTACTCTCCTTCCTTATGATATTCTTTAATTTCTTGAACCATCATCAATGTTTAACCAGAAATCTAACTTGATTCAATTTAGAACTTAATCCTTCACCATGTCTGTTAATTAATTTAGCAAAACGGGTCTAATGTTCTATCTATGAGGAATTACAAAACTTGTGAGCAATATATGAAAAGATCTAAATGGGCTTATCGTTAAGGCAATTCTCTTGTTATTGGCTTAGTAATAGGACCTAAATTCCTTTATTTAGGCTCTTCCATCGTGGGTTTCAGTTTTTTATTTATTATCATCGTAAATTGTATTAAATAAATGGTACATATCATTCATAAGGTACTTTAACTAACGACTAATCATTGTTTTAACCAATGTTGTTAAATCCCAATTTTGATCATAATATCTAACGATCTCACCTACAAAACGATCTGGATCATAGTAGGATTAAGTTTGGCATATGATTGTATTTAAGATTGTTAAATCAGGATTTAGATCTGATCCTCCAATTTCATTAAAATCCGAATTCAGTAGCTCAGGTTCTATCACCCTAGTGTATTAGAACAACTCTGATTAGCTTACAAATTCATAGACTTATAGGAACACAAAAAACAATGGAGGAAACACATTAACTTTAA